CAAAAGTTGGAAAATCTCGATCTACAAAGTGAACGTAAAACTCTGTTTTCCATTTTTTCGCCCGGTAAGAAAGACATTTAACAAAGCATTTTTACTCAGTTAGATGCAGCCGCCCTTGCTCGTTCTTATGAACACCTCACATTTCCAATAAAACGTTTCCTCAAGTGCCCAGTTTTATTTTTATCTCGATCTACAAGTTGTCTGTAAAACAATTTTCGCCATAGACGAGCATAAACAAAAACACAACACAAGCATGAAGGCACACAGTTTGATAGAGCATTAAATGCTCTATAAAACGTACTATTTGCTTTTTGCTTTTCGCTCCTTCTTTTGTTAGAAAAACTTACTTTTCTCTCAATAACTCATCTAAAAACACGTTTTTTTCGACTTTTGCTGGGTTTATCTTGGTGATTTGTTGAGATATCGAGCTTAGATTTTCTGTGGTAGTGAAGCAAGCGAACAGCAATAAAACAAAAAAAAGAATTTCGAAATCCGTTTTCAGAAACCGGAGTAATTTTAAAAATACGACAAAAACTCAATTGTACAATAAAGTTGCAAATGACTCATATATATAGGTATGATACCTGTCATACAATTCTCTCTTATGGCACGTCTTTGATATCTGCCATAACAGCGTTATTATACATTAGGATCTAATGTATTATAAGGCGGCCGACAAATCTAATTGCGTTGTAACGCCATAAAAAATGAAACGCATTATAATGCTATAAATTTATAGAGTTATAATATAGTGGAAATTTTTATCCAGTTACAACGCCATAAATTCCTGAAAAATAACTTTGAAACGTGTTACAACACGATGGGCTATGTCTATCGCGTTGTAATACCATAGTGAAGAAAAAGCATATTTTATAGCGTTACTAACGCTATAAATAGGGGAAAAAAGATCCTGTTCATGGTATTTTTGCAACATAATTGTATTTTTCTGATAAACGAATTTATTTTAACAGTTCTTGATTATTTAAGACAGACATAATTATAAAATTCTGTAGAATAAAAGCAGAAAAATAATTGAAAATTAGAAATTTGGCTATCCTGACACACTCAATCGAACTATATACCATTTTATATTGTGTTTTTTTTTTATTTATATATTTTTAGATTAAAATGATTTGTTTGGAAAACATTTCTAATGAACTTTTTGTCGAAATCTGTGATTATTTGGATGTATACGATATCTATTATTCATTCTATAATCTAAATTTACGTATGAATCAAATAATCAATAGTCTTAATGTACATGTTAATCTTCATTATTCATCAAAACAACGATTTGACTATTGTTGTAAATTTATATTACCATATCTATATAATAGTCTCGTTTATCTAACATTATCAAATGAAGAAACAATTGGTCAGATATTATTATTTACAAATATATTTCCATTAGAAAATTTTATTCGACTTCGATCATTAACACTCTTAGGAATAAAAACAAATGATTTACATTATATTCTACCAAAATTATCTAATTTAAATTATTTATCATATATTAATGTTGAAGTTGAAGATCTTTTAGAAAATGAATCTATTTGTCAATATTTAATAAATAATCAACATCGATCATTGAATATATGTAAAATAAAGACAAAACATAGACAATTAATATCATTAGAAAATATAACAACATGTTTTATAATTAAATTAACAATTAGTTCAATAAATATATTTAATTTAACTTTATTATTAAAACATACACCATTACTTGAATATTTAAATATATCATGTATAATGGAAAAAAATGATGATAATGATTTATTAAAATTAAATTTTACAGATTTATCTTCTATGGTTCCACATTTAACATATTTAACACTCTATGCTACACCTCTATCATCTCTTATTGTTGAATTATTAATAAAAAATTTATCACAATTAACTTATTTATCATTTATTGGTTATTCATTTGAATATACAGATGGTAGTTATTGGGAATATATACTTTCAGAATATTTAAAATATTTAAAAATATTCAAATTAAGAATTGAAATTGATCATAATATTGGATTTAATATTGATATAAATCAAATAATAGAAAAATTTTCAACTAATTATTTTCTAGAACATCAATTTTATTTTATTTGTGATTATTTTTTAACTGATAATGATTCAGAATTAAATTTATACACAATTCCATATTCGAATAGTGAATATGATATAATACCGAACACTCTTATATCAAAATCAACAAAAAATGATCCATTGATATTGACAAATGTGTATAAAAATGTTCATGATTTAACAATTGATTTAAGAAGAAATAATGGTAAGCATCGTCTATAACATAACGAATGTCTCAGAATAAATGAGCCTCTCAGTATTTTACTTATAACTTGATTTGGATTTGTTTTCGAAACTAGATGTTGTTTTTTTTCGAAAGATGCGCTGCGAAATACTCTACAAAGTCATACCTAACTATAATTTCAAAACTTCAATCAAGAAAACTAAACCAATTAGATTGAAAGTCGAAAAAAATGAGAACTTTCAAAAATCAAA